ATTTCTATCCGTGTAATTCCATGAAAGATCAGTAGAATCGTTTTCTCAAGTACCGATTTGGAAAGTAGAGATTTCAAGCTGTAAAATGCTTTTTTGAACATCTCGATACGATCATTTTTGACGAAGTTGCTCTATCTTGAAGTTTACCTATTTTTAGAGGATAGAACAGATGATCCTTTAATTTTTTGGACCAGTGTATAAAAAATTTTCAAAAAAAAAATTTTTATCTTAAAAATCAAATGCCATGTTATCTGCATTGAAGCTTCTTTTCCCCAATGTTTAAAAATTCATACCTTCCAGAAAAAATATCGATTTCTTTCTAGGCTTATTTTAAAGATGAATTATGTGGCTATTTTCTAAAAAATCGTGATTTTATTCCAAAATGGCCGATTTAATATGGCCGATTAAAACGTCATTTTATTGAAAATTGTTAAAATTTGTTTAATTAAAATGTAATTTGATATAAATGTTATTGGACGATATATGGAGTTTAATACGCACAGCGCGAAAAGTGTCATTTTTTTGAAAATTTATTTTTTATCAAAAATTGTTAACATTTGTTTAATTAAAATGTAAATTGGTATAAAAGTTATTGGAAGATGTATGGGATTTAATACGCAGCGCGCGCGAAGCACGCGCCTGTTATGTATGTACTAGTTGTACTTGAAAAAAAATTTAAAGTTTTATCAATCCTACATTTGAACGTAACTTTTCAAACTGTTCGCAAGACAAGGCTTTTGTTAATATGTCAGCTATCTGTTTTTTTGTATTAATGTATATTACATTTATAACATTATTTTCCTTTAAGTCACGAATGAAGTTATACATATTTTATGTCAATATGCTTGAGACGTTTGTGTTCTCAGCGTTGAAGGAGATGAATTGTTGATTGATTATCCTTAAAGATTTTTATGAGTTCCTCACAGCTTATACCGAGATTTCCCAGTAGATTCTTCAACCACAGCAGCTCCGCTGCTATCATGGCAAGGGCCACGTACTCGGCCTCTGTTGTTGATAGAGCCACCGTTGGTTGTTTCTTTGTCGTCCAGCAAACAGTACAGCCATAGACCTTGCACAGATAACCAGTCGTAGATTTTCGATCAGAGCTTCCTCCCCAATCCGCATCAGAATAGGCAATCAAGGAGTCCTCTTCAATTTTACAGTAAAGTAAGCTAAGTTCAGTAGTACCTCGAATGTAGCGAAGAATCCTTTTTAATCCTTT